CCACAGTACTCACCTCACCTTTTTTCTACCTTTGTGTTTGTCTCTTACATCTTTGAAACACTCTTCTCTTCCCTCCCCCCCCCTCTCGACTTTTTCCCTTCGACGTTCCTTCTCCTCTGTGGAGTCTGAAGTCAACTAAAGGGCTAATGATAACCATCAAGACGCCTGCCATTTGATATAAATAAATAAATACTTTCGTCAATGATAACCGAATGTATATTTATTAATTTGCCCTAGTTTGGGTACAACACTGAGCGGAATAGGAAAATTTGATGAGATGCTAAAAGTGTTATTTATTGATCATTATTGTAGGCAAGGTTTGCACCACAACTCAAATATATATATATATATCCGGGCTTTTTTGGACCGCAACAAGTTAATCAGTATAATGCGTTATTTAGATGTGATCTTTGAGCAATATCATTTCAAAATTCCCCCTACCAATTCGAGCTAGATACATTTATCATTCTTGATTTTCAATAAAGCCTACAAACTAACAATGTATTGGAAAACAGAAGAAATCTAAATTTTGGCAAACTCCATGTGGGAACCATTAATCTATTTTCAGTGCCAATGAAATTCAAAATATTCAAAAAACATGTGGACTTTAAATTCACTTGACTTATTGTTATTTCAGAATAAGTATTTACTTATTCATATAATTAATTAAATAAAACGATGTGCAGGAACAACTAGTCATACATTAATCAAACTTTTATTTGGAATCGAAAGCTCACCGAGAGTTAGAATTAGTCGCGCTTTAAAAAGAATGATAAGTACTGTAATAACATCCATTTAAATTCCTTCTCGTAGAAATATTTCCAGGATGTTCGTGTTAAGCGTTCACATTTGAAGAAAATCAGCTCTAACTATTTTCTAAAATGTTTAGTGGTATTAACAAAATTTACCCCTTGCATTCGCACGCCCATGCAGATGCGGGCTGGCTCTTTTGATTGGCTGCTGGTCGATTGGATTTCAATGCTTGCCAGGATGACTCGCGAAACCTTTTCCGTTGTCTAATTTAATTATGCTAATTTCGAAACAAAATATAATACATAAATGATAACCGTTAAAAAGTCATTAATTATTACTAATTATCTACAAAGTGTTTTAAAAAATAAAGATGCTTCCGTATGCTAACTACTTACCATTTTTGTATTTTCATGATCAATTAACAAATGAAATATTACTCCATGAATACTACCTCTAAAGTAATGAATGCCTGATGATATCAATTAAGTTTTTTCTTCCTCGGGCTTATTTTATTTTAATGTCTATTTATTTATATCAAATGGCAGGCGTTTTGATGGTTATCATTAGCCCTTTGGTTCACTTCAGGGTTCACAGAGTGTAAGGAACATCAAAGTGAAAAGTCGAGATTGAGGAAGGGGGAACAGAAGAGTGTTTCAAAGACGAAGGCGGAAAGGGTAGAAAAAAGGTGAGGTGGGTACTGTGAAAGTAGTTAAATATGATATACAGTGGGGTCATGGTTATTTGAAGTCAGAAGTCAACTGCCGGTTTATGGACTTTTTTGCCGTATGAGTATACGTTGCCAAGGGTGCTCCACGTGGAGGTAAGTCTATCGTACAACCCCTTTTATTTTAATGTGGACTAGTGGATTAATGTGACGACCGCCAGAAGATATTTCACTTCGTTTTCAACTCTAAACTCCGTAGAACATATTTTATCTATTAAATTGCACGAGAATAAGTTATTCTTCAAGAGGAGCTGTTTAT